TCCAAGCCGCCTCCTGCCTCTGTTCCTGTGCTCATGCTCTGCCCTCCTCCCACCATGCCCTTCCTACCTTCTCTGCCTGCTGAACACCTACTTCCTTTGCTCAGACTCAGCTCAGAAAGCCCCCTCCTCTTCCTACCCTACCTTAAAATCCTCCTACCCACTCCTCCCTCTGGGTATCCAGGGTCTGCTGGGCTTCAGTCTGTATCTTACCCCTCTGGTGACTTGTCTCCCACTTGTTGAACAAATTATAATAAAGTCCCATAAAAATCCAAACCCCATAGCCAGGCCTTTGGCAGCATGGCTCAGGGCAGGGACTCTGGAGTCACATAGGCCTGGATTTAAATCCCAGCTGCTCGACTCACTCACTGTGTGACCCTGAGTCAATCACTTTACTTCTCTGAATCCCAGTTTTCTTAATTGGCAAAGCAAGCGTATTAAAACTGACTTTTGGGCCGGCCGAGTGGCGCAATGGTTAAGAACTGGCTTGGGGGCCGGCCGAGTGGCGCGATGGTTAAGAACTGGCTTGGGACGCCAGAGGACCCCGGTTCGGATCCCACATATGAGGACCAGTGACACTGCCCTCCACAGCTAAGATGCTGAACAACAGCTCAACCTGGAGCTGGGCTGCCGTGAGTTGCCGGCGACAGTGTAGGCTGCAGCCCCTGTGGCAGTTGGTTGGTTGCCATGGGCTACCGTGTGTAGCCAGCAGCCCGCGAGAGCGGCCAGAAGCTGCAATGAGCAGCCGTCCAGGAGCCAGCAACTCATCTGCCTCGCCCGGGAAGAGCGCAATGATGGTGCCAACTTGAGCCAGTGAAGCAATGTCCTCCACAACTAGATTGAAGAACAAAACAACAGCAACTTGTCTGTTCCCCTTCCCCCAATTCCCCAGCACTGTTCCCATCCCCCCAACTCACCAATAAAAATCTTTAAAAAAGAACTGGCTTGGGATGCCAGAGGGCCCCGGTTCGGATCCTACATATGAGGACCAGTGACACTGCCCTCCACAGCTAAGATGCTGAACAACAGCTCAACCTGGAGCTGGGCTGCCGTGAGTTGCCGGCGACAGTGTAGGCTGCAGCCCCTGTGGCAGTTGGTTGGTTGCCATGGGCTACCGTGTGTAGCCAGCAGCCCGCGAGAGCGGCCAGAAGCTGCAATGAGTGGCCGTCCAGAAGCCGGCGAATGATGTGCCTCACCTGGGAAGAGCGCAATGATGGTGCCAACTTGAGCCAGTGAAGCAATGTCCTCCACAACTAGATTGAAGAACAAAACAACAGCAACTTGTCTGTTCCCCTTCCCCCAATTCCCCAGCACTATTCCCATCCCCCCAATTTCCCAATAAAAATCTTTAAAAAACAAAACTGACTTTTAATGCTAGTGTGAAGATTAAATATGAGATGACAACATAGGTGAAGTTCTTTGTATATAGTAAGGACTCAATAAAAAGAGCTATTCTTTTTTTTAAGATTTTTATTGGGGATTTGGGGGGATGGGAACAGTGCTGGGGAATTGGGGGAAGAGGAACAGACAAGTTGCTGTCCTTTCGTTCTTCAGTCTAGTTGTGGAGGACGTTGCTTCACTGGCCCAAGTTGGCACCATCATTGCGCTCTTCCCGGGCGAGGCAGATCAGTCGCCGGCTTCTGGACGGCCGTTCACGCTGGCTGCTGGCTACACACGGTAGCCCATGGCAACCCACTGCCACAGGGGCTGCAGTTTACTACGTCGCCTGCGACTCAGGGCAGCCCAGCTCCAGGTTGAACTGTTGTTCAGCATCTTAGCTGTAGAGGGCAGTGTCACTGGCCCTCATATGTGGGATCCGAACCGGGGCCCTCTGGCGTCCCAAGCCAGCACTTAACCAATGCGCCACTCGGCCGGCCAAAAAAAAAAAAAAGAGCTCTTCTTAGGTTGCCCAACTGATGGAAAGACACACTTCTCCCTCACATGCCTCCTGACACGTTGCAGCTACACACAGGGCACCTAGCCTGGGAAGCTGGTGGGGCCAGAGAAAATGTGTGGGTTGTGATGGGCAGAGCAGGTAGCACTGGCAGCACTGCCCTGCCCACATCCCCTGCCATCCCACCCACAGAGCAGCTTCAGACCTCACTGGCCACTGAGAGGCTCAGGACAGAAAAGAAAACAGGGTTTCAACCCACCTCCCCACACCCCATCAAGAGTCTCTATTTCAAGCCAGAGGAATACAACACAACCAATCTCATATACTGGATTCCCAGCAGTCTGGGGCCTAGCCGACTCCCCCATTTCAAAGGGAAGCAACTTAAGATTCAGAGGAGAGACATCTCTTGTCCAAAGCTGCCCTGTAGTAAGAAATAGGGCCTGACCTTGAATCCATCTGTTCCCCGGCGCAAGCCAGGCTGCCTATAGGAGAAGGTGCTAGGGCCCTAGAAGGGGTTCCAGACCAGCTGGACACTACGCTCACACTTCACTCAGCCCTGTCCTCAACCACCTGCCTGTCCCTGTCACAGCCCAGCCTCAATTCTTCTCCTGCACCTGGCACCAGTTGCCGTGGCAACGGGTTATTTGGGAAGCCGTGGGAAGACAGGCTGTGCCGCAGAGTCAAGGATGGGGCCTGGAGGGAAGAGCATCCGTGGGCTGTCTCTGGTTAAGGCAAGCGAGTACCTGGACCCACCACCAAGCTCAAACAAGGCCCTCAAGATGCTGTGGACCTAGGAAGCCCACTTCTGGGCACCTGGCCCAAATAACTAATGTGAAATGGGGAGACGTCAGATGCGTAGCCATGTTCACCCCAGCATTACTTAGAGCAGGATGAAACTGTATGTCAGTAGCAGGTAACATTTTTTGAGCACTTTTCTTGCAGCAGGCACCAATGCTAGATGCCAAGCACGCGTCATTGCACTTGGTCCTCACCACCACCCTATGAGACACCAGAAAGGCAAAGCCACTTGCCCAGGTTATTCAGATAGTGGCAAAGCCAGGATGGAATGCCAGTGTGTCCGCCTCCAGGCTTCAAGCTCTGAACCACACCCTACAGAGGTCGGAAATGAGAAAAGGAAGTCCCAGCCCATCCTCTAGTCCTGGCAGCGCCTGTGGCTGTAACAAATATGCCTGTAACTGCTACGATGCAGGACGCAGGGAAAGCACAGATTTGGCAGAACAGTATGTACCAACTTGGAGAGATCTTCAAATACTACAGCGCTTGAAAAATAAACAAAGTACAAATCCCAGAACAATGAGGCATAGTATAAGCCTATTTATACGTAAGAAGGCACAATATGTAGGTGTTCACGTATGTATACAGTTCATAGAAAGGAGACTAGAAAGACGCTAACTGTTAATAGTGGTTGTCTCCAGACAAAGGGGAGTGGGGCCAGGAGGCACTCAAAGGGATTTCCTTGTTCTGTGTTAACAATTAATTGTGAACATTTTTTTTTTTAGCTGAGCCATCCTGCCACCTGTTGGCAGCTCAGCGGCAGCTCAGCTCGGGCCAGGCATCAAACCGCTGTTGCTCAGAGCTCGCACTCTTGAGCGAGCTCTTAACCAACTGAGCCACTCAGCCAGCCCGTGAACATTTTTTTAAATACCAAAAAAAAAAAATCAAGTTACAAAATTTGGCACATGTGATCCCACTTCTAGGTGAAGAAAACAGATTTTTAGAGAGAGATAGATGATATAGCTATAGACAGATATATATCTATATATAGAAATATATATCTTATAATTGCAAAAGTCAAACATGACTTGTATTCATCTGTTATTGGTATATATTGAGTATTACAATTTTAATACAGTTTTTTCCTTTCTTAAAATATGTATATATTTTTGGCACCCTCTGTGTGTGTGTGTGTGTGTGTGTGTGCGTGTGTGCGTGTGTGTGTGTGCGTGTGTGCGTGTGTGCGTGTATGAAAGATGTTCATATATATATGAAAGATGGAAGAAAGACATATACCAAAATGTCAGCATGAGATAGCTCTGAATGTTGACATTTTGAGGATTTCTATTTCTTCTTTATTTTCTTTAATAAACACATATTAGCTTTTTTATTAAAAACTAATGTTTTTGAGTGATGTTTACAAAACTAATGTAATTGCATTCTAATGTAATTATAGTACCGAATAGTGGTAAACCACACTGGCAGCTCATGGGTTCCTATGCCAGTGCTACTCATTTGCTCTTTGGCCTTGAACTGTTCATTTCACCTCTCTGAGCTTCAGTGTCCACATCAGTACAATGGGTATATATCAACAGTATCTATGTCATAAGGCTGCTAAACAGGTTGAAGATAAAGTGGTTAGTATAGTACCCAGCACGTGACAAGCAAGCTTGATACTATTACTAATAGTAATAGTAGTAATATTCCCTAGTAGTAATCCTCCCCAGCGGGGAATATGCACAAGCAGGCAGTGCAGGAAGCTCTCAAGACAAACTGCGTGCATTTATATCCTGACTCCATCATATACCAGATGTGTGACCTAGCACCTGTTACCTTACCTCTCTGGGCTTCATGTGAAGATTCAATCAAAAGCTCCTAGCACATAATACATGTTCAATAAATGGGAGAAAAATTCAATATGTAAGAAGTATACACCAAAAACAGGTAGTGCCATCTTCTGCCTTTGGTGTATAAACATGTTAGCTACGATTATTAATAAAATGACAATTATAAGTAAAAGAACAATGGAAAAGAAAGCAGTGAATACAGGGAACACAGTCGGGCACTGACTTCCTTGCTGTGTGAGCTTGGAGAAGTTTGTGAACCTCTCTGAGTCTGTTTCCCAACTGGAAATATGGAGCCGATGCCTATCTTATAAGGCAATTGTTGACACCAAAGAAAAAGCCAATATAACATAAATTAATTTGCACCTTATGCTGTGCTAGGAATATTATTTTACACCATCATCTCATTTAATCCCCTCAACCCCATTAAATTGGAATTAGTATTCCTTTTCTACAGATGAGATTAAAAAACATTCCAAGGTCACTCAGCTAGGAAGTAGACAGAGGCAAGATTTGAACCCAGGACTTACCTACTCCAAAAGATAATGACCCCTCACAAGATGACAGCAATGTCGTTTATTTTCTCTTTCTTGATTTGATGGGCCTCAGTTTAGTCATGTATAAAATGGGCATGAGGGATAATGGTCATAAAGAGCCCACCCAGCTTAGCCTCTATTATATTTTACCACCAAGCACGGTGTTGAGAAACTGGCCTGGCCCTTTCCATCCCAACCACTCAGACTCAACTTACCAGTTTGGGGCAGCCTCCTGAGCTGGATTTCTCTGGCTGGTCCTGGTTGGAGTTGTCTGAGCTTCTGTCTGTGCCCTGCTCCTGGGCACAGGGCACTGGGCCCCTCCCCATCTTAGCATCCTTGGATCTTCTCTGCCCCATGGATAGGGCCAAGTGAGCCTTACTGGTTGCAGGCTCTTGGGAGCTGGCAGGAGTGTAAGCGGGAGCAGAGAGGACTTGCCCTGCCCAGCCCATGGACACTGTCTGAGCCTTGACCTCCATCTCCTCCTGGTTGTGTGAGGCGACAGGGCCATCATCACCGCCAGTCCCCATGACCTGCTCAGCTTCTCGCTGCTTTGTGGAAGCGTTTCCAGACACTTCCAGGCACAGTGCAGGGCTCTGTGGAGGATCCTGGGCAGCTGGCCTGAGGGCCTTCCCTCCACTGGGCAGTGGGAACTCGACAGGATCATAGGGACTGTCTGGCTGGGCCCCACCCCCCACCACGAGCAAATATTCAAACTTTTCAGTCCCTGAGGCACATACCACATAACTCCCACCTGGATCTCCAGGCCCAGATCCAGTGTCCTTGAGGGAGAGAGAACTGCAAAGGCCTCCCAAGGACTCCCAGTCAGCACCTTGTGGGGGGCCTCCCACACACTGGGGGTTGGCCCCAACAGGGCTCTGACCAAGCTGCAAAAAGCCACCAGCCCCCTCCCCACCCTCTGAGCAGAACTCACACTTTCTGCTTCGCTTTCTTGCCCTCACAGGGGCTGGGCCTGGTGAGGATGGCAGGTCCCTTTTGAGGGGTTTCTCTTTGCTGAGGGTAGGGCTTCTTCCATCACACCCTAGAGTACTCTTCCCACCTTCTCCAACCTTCTTCACCCCTGCTAGGCTCTCCCTGCCAACCAAAGCTCTGTCTGGGAGACCCACAGGCAAGCTACAAAGATTCCCGGGCCAACTTTCATTTAAGATGTCATACAGAGAATTTTGGAGCCTCTTGGAGGCCTGAGCCCTCCCCTGTGTGGGCACTGCAGGCAGACCAGTGTGGAGCTTGGGGCCAGGCACTGAATCCTGGCTTTGTCCCACAGCTTGCATTTCCAGGACCACCAGGTGGGCCTCAGCTTCCAGACTGGCTCCAGGAGTACCCCCAGCCGGGGAGCTGGCAACTTGATGGGCCCCTTCCCTGAGCACCCACTCCGCTCTGCCAGCCCAAACTTGGGCCTCAGAGCTCGTCCCGGGCAGGTCTGGTGCCAGGCCTGACACAGAGCTAGCTTCTTCCATGTCCTCCTGGAAAAGCCCCCACCTGCGTCGGGGACTGAGAACAGGGTCCTCTATGCTGGAGCCCTCTGCAGCCCCCTCCTGAAACACGTCTGTCCACTTAGAGGGGCCTACAGCAGAATGAAGGCCCTGTAAGGAGACAGAGAAGAGACTTCATCACGAAGGGTCTGACTCACCAGCCCATTCAGGACACCGGGCCTCCCTTCCAGGGGCCATCCTCAGGCCCTGCCCACTCTTGAGGCCTGGAGGCCACAGGGACCTGAAACAGCAACCCAGTGATGTGAACACCCAGCAGGACCTGGGCCGCAGGTGAAGGAGGGAAGGCCTGCCACCAAACATGACCGCTACAGCAACCTTAAGTTCTTCCCAACTCTGAGGGTTTACACTTTTGCTTAAACGGGATCCAAGAACAGTTACCATTTATTCATTACTTACTTATGTGCATTATTTCATTTCAGGCTGGCAACGACAGGTGAGGAAGCCGAGATAGAGACGTTTCGTGACTCGCCGAAGATCAGGCAGATAGACGTAGGAAGACCGGTGATCCTCTTCCCCTGCCGAAAAGCCCAGCTCTAAACCACTCTTCAAGACCCGAACCCGAAGGAGGTTAATTCCTACCACCCTGCCTGTCCCCCCAACATCAACCTTGTTCTGCTTGACGCCCCAGCCATGTTCCCAGGCCAGACCGCGACAATCCCCAACGGCTCAGGGAATCCGGCTCAAACCGGTCCAGAACCTCTCGCGGGGGCGGGCTCCCACTCCCAGAGTTCCATCCGCTGGTCAGGGGCTGAGATCACGTGACACGGGGAGCTCTGGTTGAGGGATGCGGGTGTAGCCTCCGATGTTAGATAAAGGGCCGCACCCCAGGCGTGCTGGTGTCCCCAGCATGGGCAGAGGGCAGACTCTCCCTTCGGAGGGCTTCCTGGAGGAGGTGCCAAAATCAATCCAATGGGCTCCTGGGGTTAGGTGTGTGCCTGAAGCGAGAGGTCGGAGACATCCAACGGCCTTGAATCTGTCTGAGAGTTTAAACTTGAGTCTATGGTGATGGGGAGTTACTGAAAGTTCCTGAAGCCCTAGGGAAACGTCAGAATCTGACCTACATTTTTGCCAAATTATTTATTATTTTTATTATCTCAAATATAAAAATATAATAATGTAAAAATGCACATCCAATAGAAGAGTTAGAAATTTAAAAATTTAAATGTCCTCTCACTTCCCAACTCTTGGGAGTAACCTTTCTTTTCTTTCTTACTGTGCTTGTTGTTTTTTTATTTATGTTACTTTCACAACTGTACATAATATACTGATAATGTTAGCAGTATCTATTAACTCTCTGCTATGGTGATTTCATTAACCACCCTTTTCCCCTTTCTTCTCCCAGTTTTTCTTTTTTACGTTCATATTTTTAGTTTTTCTATTGGTTGCTATTATCACTTTGCATAATAGTCTTAAATGTCTATTTCTTCTTTAGATGGTATCTTTTGATTCTCCTCTGTGTGAAATGTATAATTTCCCCTCCCCGCTTCTGCCTTTTTCTGTCAACTCAATTTTTACTTTTGCTTTGTCAAGCTTTGTAGCACATACATTCTATTCTGCAAAGGTAATTCAGTTTGCCATATTTTGCCTGTAAATTGATTCTTAACACTGAAAAACAGATGACATTTATAACATTACTACCATGTAAGTATTCTTACTGTAGAACTCAGGATTTGATAGACTTCACTGAGAGGAAGATGGAATTCCTAGCCCTAAACCTGTGCCATGAGAGACCATGAGAAGCTTCCAGGTCAATGGAAAACTAACACCATAGTTAGAATGAACAAATTATATATATCAACATGGATGCATCTCAAAGACATAATGTTGAATTTAAAAAGCAAGATAGAGTGGGCCGAGTGGCTCGTTGGTTAGGAATTGGTTTGGGAGCACGAGCTCTGAGCAGCAGGGCCACCGGTTTGGATCCCACATGAGCCAGTGACGCTGCGCCCTCTACAGCTAAGATGGTGAACCTGGAGCTGGGCTGCCATGAGTTGCTGGTGACGGCGTAGGCTGCAGTGGGGCTGCAGTCGGCTGCCGTGAGCTGCCGTGAGCAGCCAGCAGCTGCCGTAAGCTGCTGTGAGCCGCCGTGAGCGGCTGCCCAATGGCCAGCGACCGACTGCCTCACCCAGGAAGAGAGCAATGATCACAATACCAACATAGGCCAGTGAAGCGACATCCTCCACAACTAGACTGAAGAACAAAACGACAGCAACTTGTCTGTTCCCCTTCCCTCAATTCCCCAGCGCTGTTCCCATCCCCCCAATTCCCCAATAAAAATCTTTAAACAAACAGAAAAAATGAAGTCTTTAAAAAAAAAAATTATAAAAGGGCTGGCCGAGTGGCTCAGTTGGTTAAGAGCTCGCTCAAGGGTGTGAGCTCTCAGCAACAGTGGTTCGATTCCCTGCTGAGCTGCCAACAGGTGGCAGGATGGCTCAGCTAAAAAAAAAAAAAAGCAGAAAAACAAACAAAAAAAAATTTTTTTAATTTAAAAATTTTTTTAAATAAAAAGCAAGATAATGTTAATAATAAGGGAAACTGAGTGCCAGGTATTTGGGAACTCTGTACTAATCTTCAGGTTTTTTTCTGTAAATCTCAATCTATTCTTAAAAATAAGGTTTACTACCCAAAAGGGGGTGGGGCAACTGTTGTGTGGTCCATATTGAAAGCTGTCACACTCTGGCTATGAGGGACACAAATGAAGTAAGAGTTGAGATCCAACTACTGCTCTAAATAACTTTTTTCAGTGAAAAGACCATCCACTATGGAATTGTCCTGGTTGTTGTGGCTTGGCCAGGTTCCCTAAGACCAAGTGAACTGTTATTCTGATCCATTTGGGGAACAGAAATCTCCCACTGTTGTGCAACGAAAAGGGGAGAAAAGGTATGATAAAACACCGTGGGGATAAAAGAACAGTGATAACTAACACACCGTGCTACTTTGAGCCAGACTGGTCTAAATGCTTGACCTATCTTAATCCTATATTTTCCTATATTAATCTTTAAACCAAGTCTATAAGGTAAGTACCATTACTATCCCTATTTTACAGATGAGGAAATAGGCACAGAGAGATTAAATAAGTTGCCCAAGGGTTTGTAAGTGGCAGAGTTGGTTTAGGAACACAGTTTGTCTCTCTGTCTCCTTATATTCTAAAATGTCTCATTGTCATAAAAAATAATCGAAGTAAAATTTTGCCGAGGTTTGGCCCAATGCCCTTTACTGAACTGTTTGCCAATTCCTCCACTGATTCATGACAGCACCCCCTTTTTACAGCCAATACTCATTTCAGCTTATCACCAGGATTTATCTTTTTTTTTAATTTCTTGCTCTTGGTTGCTTCTTGCATTAAACTCCTTCCATTAGACACCTAAAACTAATAATAAACAAACAAACAAACAAACAAACAAACAAACTCCTTCCATTGAAGAAGTGAAACTAGAGATAGAGTAACTGCATGGGAGGCTGCAGACATGATCCAGGTGTCAGATGGCTTCTTTAATCAATATTTATTGAACATTTACTATGGGTTGGGACTTTTGTATATTATCTCATTTACTCTTCACATCAACACTATAAAGTAGACATCATTCTTCATTTTTTTACAGAGGAGGAAAACCTAAGTTTCAGTAGGTGAAGTGACTTACCTGGGATCTGCTTCTCACCTCCGAGGAGAAGCAAAGCTGGTGGTTTATGATGTCACAGATAATAGCAACCTTCATCATGTAGTAAGATAGTGTTTTCCAGACTTCTCCCCTGCAAAGTTACTGTTTTAAGAGATTTAAGATGGAGGGGTGGCC